TACTCGATTGCTGCGACCAGACGATGGAGCCCAAGAGCCAGATGCCATTGTCGATGACGACTACTACTACTCGGGAGGTGCCTACTACTACTTGCAGCCCACTGACGACGACCTGGAGTAGTTTAGGAGGATCCCAGGCAGGAGGCATGCGCCTCTTTCGATCTGTATCCCATGCGCCTCTTTCGATCTGTATCCCAGTTTGTGCTAGCCTTCTTAAGACAAACTTGTTTAACTTATGTCTGTACTGAGATATTGTTGCTTCCGCTGACTCGTCTATGATCGAGCTCTTGTATTCGAGCCTTCGAGGCCCCTGGCTTGTAATATGATGCTTGTATGACTTATTTTATTTGTAGAGTTGTGTTGTGATATCTTCCCGTGAGCCCCTGATCTTGATCGTACATGTTTGCGTGTATGATTAGTGTACGATTAAATCGGGGCGTCATAGTTACACGGGCACTTCAATGTTTTCTAAACTTATTTGAACTCCGGACTTATTTTGCGTTCAGTATGCAGCATTCAAAGCGACATCATCAATTTTCAACATGTTCTGACATCATTTGCTGTTTTTCAGTCATTTACCGAATTATTTAGAGAGTTAAATGACCGTGAAATTGAAAATCACTACAAAATAAGCTCTAAAAATGTTGTAACTTTTCATGGTATCATCATTTCACTCGCATAGCATGTGTGAAAGAGCAGAGAGGGTCATGGCAAAAACTAGACGCACTTCGTATACAAACTGGACAATGTCTTTCGGAGTATCAGGGTTTCGGACGAGAACTCATCTGTTACACGGGCACTTTAATGTTTTTTATACTTACTTGAACTTCGGACTTCTTTTGCATTCATTATGCAGCATTCAAAGCGGCGTCATCAATTTCCAACATGTTCTGACATCATTTGTGGTTTTTTTTCAATCATTTACCGAATTGTTTAGAGAGCTAAATGACCGTGAAATTGAAAATCACTACAAAATGAACTGTGCAAATGTTGAAATTTGGCATGGTATGATCATTTCACCCGCATAGCATGTGCAAAAGAGTAGAGAGGGTCACGGCAAAAACTGGACGCACTTCATGTACAAACTGGACAATCTCTTTCGGAGTATCAGGTTTCGGACGAGAACTCATCTGTTACACGGGCACTTCAATGTTTTTTAAACTTATTTGAACTCCGGACTTCTTTTGCGTTTAGTATGCAGCATTCAAAGCGACGTCATCAATTTCCAACACGTTCTAACATCATTTGCTGTTTTCAGTCATTTACCGAATTGTTTAGAGAGCTAAATGACCGTGACATTGAAAATCAGTATAAAATGAACTCTGAAAATGTTGAAATTTGGCATGGTATCATCATTTCACCCACATAGCATGTGCAAAAGAGTAGAGATGGTCACAAAGAAATTAAATACAGAAAAAAATTACTCAGAAATAAATAGAAGAAAATAAATGAAGCAGAAAAGAAAAAAAACTATATAAAAAATTACTCAAAAATAAATAGAAGAAAATAAATAATGCAGAAAAGAAAAAACTATATAAAAATTACTCAAAAATAAATAGAAGAAAATAAATAATGCAGAAAAGAAAAAATATAAAAAAATTGTTGGGGCGCTGTCCAGTGGGCCTGTCAGACCTAGGGTGTGCAAATTCAGGCCCAGAAGGTCCGGCAGACTCACAGGGTAGCGCGCCATAATTAGGCCCAGAAGCCTGATATATAAAGGAGTTCGAAGGAGCAGCCGCGGCTGTGTTTATAAACCAGTGCGGCTGCCCTTCGCTCGGCGAGGTGGGACTAAATATTGTGCACCGCGGATGGCAGCGCAACACCTTTAGTACCGGTTGGTGGCTCCAACCGATAATAATGAGTGGACCTTTAGTACCGGTTCCTGGCACGAACCGGTACTAAAGGGGTCCGCTTCCCGCCCCTTGGCCTGGCGAAAATTGGCCTTTAGTACCGGTTGGTGGCTCCAACTGGTACTAAAGGTCGCTCATATATATATGGCACTTATGAAAAATCCAGTTTTCATCCGCGCGCCGCCCGTCTTCTATCCAACTACTTCATCGCCCGATATCGTCGCCGTCGCCACGCCGTCGCCCATCGCGCGCCGCCCTCACCGCCCGTCGTCGCCGTCCCCGCCGCGCGGCGTACGTCGTCGTCGCCACCTCGCGCCGCCCCCGCCGCTCGCCATCGCCCTCGCCGCCCCCGCCGCTCCCCGTCGTCCCCGTCGTTGTCGTATCGCCCCCGCCGCCCGTAGGCCGCCGCCCACGATCGTACACACACACACACACACACAAGCACGTACACGCACGTGCGCACACACACACACTCTTTTTTTTACTTATTTTCTGTTTCTGTTTTTAGATTAATGCATGTCAAATTGTTAATTAGATGATCGAATTAGATGAATTACCTAGATAAGAATGTTAGAATGTTAATGTTAGATGAATTAGATAGAGAAGTTAAATATTAATGTCAATTGTTAGATGAATTAGCTAGATATTAATTAATTAGGTATATGAGATTATTTGAATTAGTTGAATTAGTTGAGCTACTTTATTTAGTTATTTTTCGTAAGTGCTTAGTTGAATTAGTTGAGTTAATTAGTTGAACTAGTTGAATTAACAGAACTAGTTGAATTAGTTAAATTAATAAAACTAATAAGTGTTTAATGTTTCACCTATGAACATAGAAATGTCGTTTGACGATGAACACGATTTCATTATGTGCGAATACTGCGAAGACCAGCGCGGCCTATGCGGCAGAAATTTTCTAGTTGATGATAGGCGCTTCAGCATCAAGCTGGATGAGAATTTCGAAATGGATACAGTAAGTCAGAACGACAAGTCTTTTTTCATAATTAAGCATGACTTATGCTTCATTTGCTTCAACTTTTAATTTTAATTTTTTCACTATTCTACTAGCGTATCCCCTGCCATGCAAGAATTTTTGTATTGGATAAGATAGGTTTCTGTCCTAACAAAATTATGAAGGTAAAAAGGTTTACTTGAAGACCGAGCATGGTTATACCTTCAACGTCAAATTATACAATGCAGACACATACACCTATTTCGAATGCAAAACTTGGCAAGCACTATGCAAGGCTTATGCATTTGAGCCTGATATGGTTATCACCTTTGATATTCGTCCGAAAGATGATATTGAAGGTAATAGAGACATCTGGGTCGATGTGCGGACGCCTCCAGTTCTACCATTATGTGAGTTTCTCAACCATATTTATGTCTTCGATATTGTTTATTCAAAAAGAGTTGACAAGTAATTTATATTGACAGGTTATTTCCAATCAAGCAAACATGTCCGGTGCTTGCTAGACAGGACCGTCCACTGTCCCGGGGCTAAACTAAACTGCGAGGAGAGAAGTCATTATGTTTCATGGCTTGAGGATCTTGATGCTGTCAAGACAATTTTTCTCCTGCACTTAGAAATGTTAGTACTCAAAACATGCGACCAATAGTGTTCATACTAAACTACAGTCACATATATTTAGGAAAGATGGTAAGAATTCTACTATTTCTTCTCAGTGCATCTTTTGCGTACATTATTTTTTAAGCTAAACTTCATTGCTAAGTATGTTAATATACGATGTTCTTCAATAGGGACTCCCGATGAATGTTGTACCTAATTGGATCAAGACTAAAGGTACCATGAATATTGTTAGCTTACGGCCAAGATATCCTACAATGCACTTTAGTGCATTCAAGATTTCTAATAGCGAGGAATGCTTAATAGTAAAATACTGAAGCCAAATTGTGAACGATCGCAGAGAAATACTAGGGGGCAGCAATCAGAAGCACAACCCACGATTAGGAGACAGGTTCATCTGCATGCTCCAATATGATGAATCAGGAAAGCTATACATGTTCTATGCTCTTTTACCTGAGAGAGAGAGAGCAGTAGGAGTGATTAGCTAGTTCATGCTCTTAGTACTTGTCCTCTCATGTCCGTGTTCTTCGTCCTGAACTTAATCTCAAAGAGTGATTTGCTTTTGTGGTGTTATGAACGCTTATAATATCATTACCATGTTGAACTCGATGATATCTTGGCTTCTGGTACAAGTGAATGTTTCTTTTTTAAGCTAGTGTTGGTGGTGATTAGATAGCGATAATGACTATATGATGATTAAGTAGTGGTAATGAGATGACTATTATATGATGGTTTTTAGCTAGCTATGAAAACTATTGTTGGTGATGATATATATGATGCAAGAGTTTTTATATTAATATGATGATGATGATGATGATGATGAGTTATTATATCATTTATGAAAGAAACCGCAGATTAGTTTCAACTGGATGGATTCTAGCTAAGTGATCAAGTATATGCCATATCCATATTATCTCGATCACTTAATTAGGTGATCAAGTATATATAATATGGATATGGCATATACTTGATGACTTAGCTAGGTTCCACATGCATCCAGTCAAACTAATCTGCGATACTTTCACCTAATGATTTAACAACTCATTATAATGTAAAACAATCACTAAATTAAATTAAAAACACAAAATTAAAGTAAAAATAAAAAAAACCAAAACACACCCAAACATTTAGTACCGGTTGGTGTTACCAACCGGTACTAATGTCCTACGCGTCCCCGGAGCTGGCTCGTGCCACATGGTTGCCCTTTAGCACCGGTTCGTGCTGAACCGGTACTGGGGGGGGGGGGGGCTTTAGTGCCCACACATTAGTGCCGGTTACCGAATCGGCACTAAAGGGCTTTATGAACCAGTGCTAGTGCTGGATGGTTATACTCTATCTCCATAATTTTTATAGTAAAAGAAGAATCTTCGGAATCTGCCTTAAATGACAGAATTGTCATATGAGAAGACCAAGCATCATAATTCTGATCAAGCTTGCTTATGCTACTGTGTGAATAAACATATATGTACCCTATCCCTAAGCTTACAAAGAAGAGTATATCTGTAACCATAAAAGAGCATAAAACTGCTATGGTACTATATACTGTTGTGTTGCACAATTAGCTATATGGTATGAAAAGTGGCACCCCTGGGGATGACTATGGTTGCACAATTAGCTCTGAAAATTATACCAAAATGGTTAGGACTCATCTCAGCATCAACGGGAGCTACTGTACACATCTCGGCATCAATCGCTGCCTCCAAACTATCCCCTTCTGCAACGAAATCGCCAACCCCCAACACGGGAGCAGGCTCCCCGCCCAATCCGCCGCCCAGCAGCATCACGGCCTCCTTCTTGACCTCCAACAGGACGCCGCCAGGAACATCCAACAGGTCGGGCGGCCCGCCCTTCTCCTCCGCGACCTCCCCCTCCCCCATCTTCATAATTTGGTCCGCGCACAATCCGCCGCTCCCGGACACCGACGCAAAATCAATCCCGCCCGGACCGGCAGCCGCCGCCTCGCCAAGGCCGAAGCTCTTGGCCAGCTCGCTCTCCATGGCCTGGTCAAAGTCGAAGTCGTCGAGGAGCCACTCCTTGACGGGGCCGAAGGCGGCGGCCGGGTCGGAGGGGGGCGCGGGTGGCGGGGAGGGGCTGGGGGGAGGCGTTTGGTGCTGGCGTCGACGCGGCGCACGATGCCCATGAGCAGCTCCGGCAGCAGGCGGGACCACCTCTCCTCATCGGCCTCCCCCTGACGCCCGTGCTCGGCGGCGTCCTCCGGGGCGACCTCGGCTGAGACCTTGGCCTTGTTCCCGCCGACGATGCCGGTCGGGGCGCGCTAGCAGGACGTGAGCCCAGGACGAGCTGTGCCATGGTGGAACAGGGGGGCGGGCGGATGGGAGGAAGGGGTCGGAGAGGGAGCGGCGGGCAAAGAGATTGTGGGGGCGGAGGAGAGGGGTGGGAGTAAATCGGGGGTGGATGGTGCTGCACTGACACGCTGAGCAGTAGCGTGGGTGTATCGCCTGGGCTATAGCTATTCATTTAATAGTAGCGCAGGATTTACAACTCGCGCTACTAATATTTTTTGATTTGATGGTGCGGTGTATCACACTTAACAGTAGCATGTCTAAGAGAAACCAACGCTGCTGCAATCCATATCAGTAGCGCGCTTTGTACCCAACACTACTAGTAATTACCAGTAGCGTGGGGACACAAACAAACACTACTGATAAACTTTTATGTATAAGCATTTTCCTAGTAGTGTGAAAGCAGAAATCACGCGCGTGTGGGTCGTTGTCAACAACTTGAACATCGTCCAGCCGTGCGCCCCAACTGTTGCGCCGCTGCTCAACTGCGCTTTACGATCACTGCGCCAATGTGCACCTAACCAGGTCGCTTCCAGACGCCGCGTCAATCGATAAGCCTGCTGCTTGCGCTATACATCGCCGCCGCCTTTGTCAGATCTCGATGATAACTACGCCTCAATCATCCGATTACAACCACAACTCGCCGACGTTGCTGTTCACTTGAGTTCTTCCGATCGATCTCAACCGTGGCAACACGTATTACGAAAGCTTCCGTGTACACGATACCGACCTTAACATCAAGCCTTCCTTTCGATCAACTCGACCGCCTCACGGATCTTTTCAACCTTGCTCATGATACCACTTGTTAGAATAAATCCGAGGCATACCGTTGATCATCCGAGAACCAAGCAATCACACGAGCACGACATCGAGATTTGTTAACGAGGTGCACCGATATGGCTACATCCCCGGGGCTTGACTACGGGTGCTCCTCCCCGTGACACCGTCACAATACCGCACCCAGTCGCCCTCGACACCGGCACATGCCACCGGCTTCCCCCGCGTTCCGGTGCTATTATGTTGGCATAGGTTACATCGTGTGTCTACCTCTGCTAGCGCCCGTAGTCAAGCCCCGAGGATGTAGCCATATCGGTGAACCTCGTTAACAAATTTCGGTGTCGTGCTCGTGTGATTGCTTGGTCCTCGGATGATCGACGGTATGCCTTGGATTTATTCTAACGGACCTAAACAACAAAACAAAAGTTTTGCTGCTCTGTGAATGATAGTTTAAGTTTGACAGAATTGAGAAAGCCATCCGTAGGAGACTAACTCGGAAACATAGTCTTTTCTTTACAAAAAATGTTAGAAAATATTAACACGATCACAATAGCAAATTAGAATTAGTTATGAGAGGAATAATGTGAACTTTGCTAACAAATTACCTGAATCAGCAATCCTAAGTGTTGGATGCATCTGATCAGATTCTTTCATGCCATTTGAGAAAAGCTAGGAAACATGACGATTATTAGAACAGTGAACCAGCTATACAGAAAATGCATTTCACAAGGTTAGTAGAATTACCTTTAGAAAGAAAGGACTTCTTGCGGCAAGAATCGCCGAATTGATATAAACCATCTTTCCTCGTAAAACTGGTGTTCCCCACATGGTTGACGAAGAATCAATACTTTCTCCTTCATCACCTGCAAAATACCGAAGGCTGGTGATAAAAGGACAAACTGGGAAAAAATACAGTGTATCGAATAGAAGCAGTAGAGAGATAGTTTGCTATATTAAAATACTTGGAACACTCTGTTCTTTAACGGATGCAGACCAGTTAATTAATTTTCAGAAATAGAGTAAAATGGTTAAAAAAACATCAAGGTAGTTGAACTTTACTTGATCCCACAACGTAAGCATGCTTGTAGCTTAGTAGCTCACTAAGCAATGTTTGATAGCAAAGTACAATAAAAACCAAAGTATCAAAAACTACAGTAATTTAGCATATAGGTACAAAATACCATGGTTTTAATATAACAACATTTTTTGAAGTATTCACGATACAAAGGACGTGTTTGGCTACGTCACAAAACGCTGTAAAATTTCTTGGCTAGCCGTTAGCCGTGCGTGCATTCGAAACTTGCTAGCCATTGTAGTACTAGAATATACAGATGGATTAGACTAATGATGATTAGCGATGGCGACGCTGGTGGAGTAATTAGCAGATGACCTCTGAGCAATAGGTACTTGAAAATCTTCATACCAGACATTTGCAAGGAGAAGGCACATGAATCGAACATATATATTTTGGCTCAAACATTCTTCTCTGTAAGATAAGCATCACACACAGCTGTTTTATGAAAATCAAACAAAACATTTACCAGCTAGTAAATTATGATAAAAATATCATCTTACTCATCATATAGACAACAGGGAAGAGTGAAAAAAAATTCCCATGTCACCTGTTTGCCAACGCTGATGAAAGAAGCATAGTGTTCAAGTACTGCAGCCGCAGGTAACGAACAACTAAAAGACCTCAGCTCAGACAGTTTGTAGTTGCACCCTGCCTACTGCCTAAGCTCTGTCCGACCCTTCTTTTCCGCTGCTCAGTTTTTAAAAAAGAGGTATGCGGTTCTTTTTTTTATACAAAGAAAATACTGTGATTTGGCAAAAACTGCAGTATGGAAATCACAGTTTTCAGAGGCAACCAAACAACCCTATGTAAATAAAACTATAGTAATATAAAAAACTGTAGTATTTTGAGAATACTTCGAAAATACTTTGTTACCAAACGGGGCCAGCAAACTAATCATCATAATTTTAAATAGTGGGCTATGTCAAATAGCGGCAATCCTTTAAATTAGCTATAGTGGGGCTATAGTCGGCTATTTCGTAACTTTGCGAGATAATTGTACATGAATACCATTTAGCAGCACCCTGCTCAAACTGCTATAGCAGGACTATAGCCGGTTATATTTCACAACTTTACACGGCAATTGTACATGAATACCATTTAGTCGCACCCTGCTCAAACCGCTATAGTGGGACTATAGCCGCTATATATATGCTGATGCTACTGTAATTTCCTGTAACCTTGTTCACTCTAAACTTTATACTGTTACCTGATGAAATAGTGTAGTCTATACCACACAAGAATCTGGTAGCACAAGCCAGTTTAAGTAGCTACGGGGTGAGTATATTTGCAAGGACTGGCTGTAAACCGTATGTTGCGTGTATGCAGAAAACATGCAACTCTAAAATTTCCTCACGTAGCTCTGCTGGGCATCGATGTCGGTGAGACGACGCACGAGGCGCTATAGCTAACTGTTAGTAGTAGCGCGATTTGCACCCGCGCTACCTATAATGGTTTTCCAGAACACGCTGCTATTAGTTAGTTGTAGCACTTTTCTAGCCCCGCGCCACTGCTATGTGTTTCATCATTTTTCTCTGCTTCCTACCCAGTTTCAGTTTCAATAAACTGCAATTTCCAGATACTAGGTACTACTAGATATCAATTTCATAAAGCATTATAGGTACTAGGTAGTACTCCTTCCGTTCCAAATTACTCGTCGTGGTTTTAGTTCAAATTTAAACTAAAACCACCACGAGTAATTTGGAACGGAAGAAGTACTAGATAACAATTTCATATATAGTCAACATGCATCCTCAACAAGGTGATATCGATAAAGATCATCATATATAGTTCTAGATGATATCGACGACGATTATCATATGTAGTTCTACATGATATCGACGACGATCATCATATGTAGTTCTAGATGATATAGCCACACACACATATGTAGTTCTAGATGATATCGACGACGACCATCATCCTGAAGCCTGGGCGGTGGGTGTTCCTGAATTGGATGGCCTGTCCAACACGAAGATTCTTGTCAACGAGGAATCTCTTCCACCCAACCGAGTTTAAGTGTGTGCGACCGTCTGTGTCCATGCGGTAAGTACAGGTGGTGACGGAGCCCCTTGCGGTAAGACGTAGTCCAGCTGAGCCTTCTTCATCAGGCTCGATACCACAACTCACAGATAGGTCCGTTGGCAATTTCTGAATAAGAAAAACATATCAATTAATAAATAGCCTCGCACATACTCTTGCAAATATATTTCTATTAAGTATAGATTTCTACACTATCAAAAGACACAGTACTACGCATTTGTACTAATTAAGCATGAATTCTACTAATAAGTATATATGGATTATCTACACTATTAATATTTCTTAGATTCTACACTAATAAGCATGTGACCAAACTCTACACTAAAGCATATCATCGACTAGATTCCTCAAAGCATATCATTGGACTCTACACTAAGCATATCATCAAATTACTACAGTCAGTATAACATACCATTTCATGCCGATCGACTATGGTACTTGTCAGGCGGATCACGAATGGCACCCCGACAAAGTCATCACGTGGCGGAATTATGTCCCATAGGTTGCACACCTCCTCCTCGCTCAGCCTCATTCTTTGAGCTGCGATGACTTCATGAAGTGGGTTCTCACCATCTTCATCGAGTGGGTCCTCATTATCTTCATCATCTTCGTCATCTTCATCATGTTCCACCAGGTTGAGATAAATGACAGTCAGTTTGGGTCTTTCTGCTCTGAAGGAGAA